TGGAAGGGAAGGGGAATTGGGGGCTTGTGAGAAGGGTGATGTGGGGAACAGGCTCCCCATCAGCGCAAATGGAAGGGAAACAGCGCAAAGGGAAGGGAAAGAGGCAAGGGACGGGGGATGGGGGGCCTGTTTCCCTTTCCCTTCCCTTTGCGCCTGCAGGCCCCCCATCCCCCGTCCCTTACCTTTCCCTTGCCTTTGGTCCTACTACTCAGGCTATCATTCTTTTGCTCAAAATTTTGGATGGTTATGGTCAACACCGAGATCTTCTAACATTACAAGAAAATCAGACACGATTCTTTAGCAAAAACTAAAGAAATATAGATCGTATAGAGGTTTTGCACCATCAGGTGTCGGCGCCCATAATACACCTTGGACTGCCTGTGGTTCGGATGGCAGAACAATAAAATCCCTTTGCTCTCGGTAATCGAGTTCTTTCTCATGTAAAACGATTGTATTGTTCCTGACATCTAACATGGCTGCCGTCACGTGGTGGTGCAAAACCTCTATTGCAAATTCGCTTGAGTCTAATATCCCCAGGGGAGGGCTGTGGAGAGTGAGGAACGAAAGGGAAATGCTATAAGATTGAGCAGCTCGTAGGGTCTTGGCTAGGCCTTTAGTTTCTCCACAATTTTAGCCAGGTAGTATAGATATTTCTCGTCTGTAATCCAAGTGCTGATCTCGCCGCCTTGGCATTTACAAATTATATGCGTCCCTGACAAGAGGTGTATTTCATTCTAAATCCAAGAGCATAATTACAGAGGAGGCATTCCGGCCCTGGGAATAAATGTTCTCGACGATCAGCTGTATTCTTCACCTATACGCTAATTCTTACTGAATTGTCTGGGACGTGAAACTGGAACGCATTTAGTCGAGCAGTACATGAGTCCGGCATTAACCATAATTGGCGATTCAGAAACTTTCAAGTAGCTTAAAATGATAAAACAACGAAGGGTCCTTGTCTCCAAAATGCTCCCTAACCTTTACATTGGCACCTAGTGCCTTAAGTTTGTCCACAAAAATCTTTTCCTCTTTTCCAATCCACGGTCGTGTCCAGTCCTTTATCTGATACGGAGTCACGTGAACCCTGATGCTGGGGATGTGCTTAGCCAGATAGTATAGATATTTCTCGTCTGTAATCCAAGTGTTGGCCTCGCCGCTGTGGCCTCCATCAAGCCAATACATTGCGCTGATCCTCGAGACGAAATCGTTAAGTCGAGCATCTATGCCAGTGGTTACACTTGAAAGCTCGTGTATGATTTGATTCAACACACAACAGCCTTTGCTGAAGCCGATGATGATGATAGGAAAATCCGATGTTATGTCTTCTTCTTTCTCTGGGATGTCTAAAACTGTGAAAAAGAGAATATTCAGCAAAGAAGGCGCACATGTAATAATTAATGATAATGATAATCATGATGAGGAGGGTGATGATGATGATGGTGATGATGATGGTAATGATGATGGTGATAATCATAGATAGTAGAGGGTCTGTGAAACTATAAACATATTCTGGCTGGGAGCAGTAGAACATTCGACAAGTACGTTGAATTAACACTCAGCTACGGCTCGTGTTTTGTCCTTCCCAGGGATTTTAAAATATTTGTGATATAACGCGCGCGCAGATTAGCTGCCTACATATCGTTCGAACACAGACACAGACCAAATCCTTCACAGATATGTTATAAAAGAAATAAAAAAATGACTGCGTAATGCGTATTTATTTATTCACACTCTGCTGGAAGCTGTAAAGCACTCAAAAAGCGAGAGAAAAACTTGGCTACACCTCGTGTTCCTAATTAAGCTTGCTTTTCTCGTCTTCTACTTCCAGCGTGCTTACATCAAAGTACAGAGACATTGGCGCGCTTTTCAGTTATATTCCTTAAACTTAAAAACGCACTCCGTTTCAAATCCCTAATATATTACTATAATAATACTGGTAATACTTAGCCTCCTGCGCAGCCGCTGTGAGGCGCTTCCGGTTCCCATCATTCCCCAATCTCGTACCCAGAGCCTGCATTTCTTCTGGCCTGAGGCGAAGAACGAGGGCTCTTGCATAATTCATTTTTTGAAACCAGGATTTCTTGGACTTCCGGTAAAACAGTGCATGCGTTCAAAGATTTGCCAAATTGAAAAACATTTCCCGATTTCTAATTTTTATYATGATTTTTACTTTGATTTTTACTTTGATCGATTATCTCACTTTCGGAAGATTGCGCATGCGCCAAAATATGGATTACGTCATAGTTTCGAGGTCATATCCACGTAAGGGACAGAATACATGATGTTCTTCTTGTTTTGGGGTTGCCATTAGGCATTCCATTGTATCTGGAGCAGCCGCTACTGTTACTGTTAGTGCTAGCATGTTAACCGAAGGAATAGGCCCTTTGCAGTTAACGGTCACGTGTCCGTACTGGAATGCAAAATTTTTGTTTTTATATCACATTGGTGATTCTTTTTAGCTACTTGTAAAGAACTGAATGAAAAGATGTGTAGCCAGTGTGTTATGAAATTCAGTTGTATTACGATCTCTCGAAACAGGTTGTAGAAAGTTTGTTTGCTCACCAGTATATTTCACCCATGATGTTCATTCATTTGCTCTCAGTGAATAAATCAGCACGTGATTGCTTAGCTGCAAAGGGCCTATTAGTGATCAAAACTCGTAGTGTGAAAATAGTGTGTGTTTATTGTGTGAAAAGTACAAATACATTAACATTAATCCTATTGTAACGGACCAAGGAATAATAGTAAGAGTGACAGCCCGTAAGGTTTATTTACTTGGATCTTAGAAATTTGCTAGTAAACAAGCGTGACTGTCAATGATGAGATTTATCGATACGCTATAGCACAAGTAAAGTCACGTAAGTTTGAACTCGGGTTCGATTCCTGGACTCAACAACACATGTGAGTTGAGTTTGTTAGGTCTCTCTTTAAATTCAAGGTTTTTCTACGGGTTCACTGTTTTTTTTTTCTACTCATAGCGCAAAATCTAACATGCTAAAATATGCTAAATTTTCATTCGGCCATTTGTGGGTCACCCGTGCCACGACTTAGATCGACCTAGTGGTTGTTTGTGGATTGATAAAGATTATTGTCGGTTTTGATGTTTCATACGGCCCTTGCCAATCAGAATACAGGAAAGCTCTTGTATTTTCGGCTGTATTCCACCGTTTCGTCCCATCAGGCAACGATTCTTTGGTGTTTTAGTTTCGTGACTAAATGCCTTGCTAGGTATTTTCAATGGTGTGGGACTACAAAAAATAGCTTTTCAGTTTCGTGGTACACAGTATGTAGTTAATTCAAAAAAAAAAAAAAAAAAAAGAAAGAAAAAAGGTTGGTGAAGGTTTTGCTGCATGTTGCATACCAACCCCGAAATGCAGTTTGGGCGATGTGAATACAATCAGCGCAAAGTCACATTAATATAAAATTTGCCTAAACTTTGTGTGCATGTTTTTAGGGCATATTTCCTGCTTTGCTGACATTCTTTACAATTTACAAAATGCAACAATCCAACATGCAACTTACAGCATGCAACTTGCAACACGCAACAAGACCGCCACCCGGTTAGCTCAGTTGGTAAGAGCGTCATTCTGTTGTGCGGAAGATCGTGGTTCAAGCCTCGGCCGATCTTAAAATATCTAAGTTCTGCCTTTGAGTAAGTAATTCATCTAAAAATGGTTACACTTTCATGTTGCTCGGACGATAACTTTAATGGGGGTGCTAGAGACGTTAAAAGAGGGTCACGAGTTTAGGTATCGAAACTCACAAAACTACTAAATTCAATGATACTAACAAAACAAGGCGTTTCGAAGTTATTTTGACCCCATTATCAAGTGTAAAATAGCTAGAATTCAATGTTGCAACATAAAGCCAACTAGATTGAGTCATCCTCTACAAACAAAGTTTATTTATTTTATTTAATTTAAATTCTTGACCAATCTTTTTTTGAAATAGCAGAATTTAAATTAACGTACCTTGTCGAACACCTGAAGTTATCAAGGCTTTTAGATGCAGCAACGCTCCATATTCTGTGTTTCTATGGTCAGGCACACCAAACAAATTCGCTTCCACAAAGTTATTGTAACAAGAGAAAGTTTTGATGTGGTAACGAGATGGACGTACTACCCAAATAAAGCTGTTAGGGAAACGTTTATCCAGCAACTTAGCTATGGTTTCCAGGTCCCACTGCTTCCAATTTTTATCCATTTCGTCTGCATAGTTCTGAAGGGCAATCGCGGTAAATTAAGAATCTTTAACTGCATAAAGAGTTTATAAGATAATATTAACGTATCTGGGGATTTGTGCGTGGCTGTGGGAGGGGTCAAAAGCTTAGAAAATTATTTTATTATAATCTCAAACTAGATAAATCATTTCTTATAATAATAATAATAATAATAATAATAATAATAAYAATAATAATAATAATAATAATAATAGTTTTTAAATATAAATATAATAATAATAATAATAATGGAGAAGTACAGTAAAGAAGGATGGTAAACCAGATACAACGACAATAGACAGAAAAGACATTTAGAAGTTAGACGCGAGTGGATATTCACTCCATTTTTAGTTGACTCAGAGAAATTAGGTCCAGTAATTTATCAAATGTAACACTTTATTTTAAAGTTTAAGGTAGCGGAAGCGAATCATTTGCAGTGTCTAAAACGACAAGTTTAATATTTTTTTCACAATGCAATAAAGTTTACCAGCTGACAAGAACCACAGCAGCAATAGCAACGCTATCAAGAAGACGAAAAATTGGAAGAGGTCATGTGAGTATTTGTATTTTAATTTATCTTTTCAAAAAGTAAATAAATAATATTACTATTCCTAAATAATCAAATGTAATATTTTTTATTTGAAGTTAGAACTGGATCAGGAAGGCCTGTTGGACAAGACTGAACACCCGACGGCAACTACGAACAACATAAACAGGGGAAGAAGAAGGAGAGAACGAAAACAAGGACGAGGAAGATAACTAGTAGTATTGTCAGTTGATGAAGAAGATGAGAAACAAGGCGGAGGACGACTGAGGACAAGGACGATAGCGAGTGGTATGTCTAGTTGAAGATGATGGTGAAGATAAGGAAGAAGATGACGAGGACGCTGACGATAGCGAGTAGTATGTTCAGTTGATGACGAAGATGATGACGAAGATGAGGAAGAAGGAGAGGACAAGGACGCGGACGATAGCGAGCAGTATGTTCAGTTGATGACGAAGATGATGACGAAGATGAGAAAGAAGGGGAGGACAAGGACGCGGACGATAGCGAATATTATTGTCTGATGTCTGATGATCACGAAGATGAGGACGAAGACGAGGACGAGGAAGATAGCGAGTAGTTCAGTTTGTGACGATGATAAGTAAGAAGAAGAGTAAGTACGTACAGTCGATAACGGTTGTCATAATGACGTTTTGATTTTAAAACTTCAACCGGTCTTTTGAATTAATGGAAGAAAAGAAAGAGGAGGAGGAGAAGAAGGAAAAGAATAATGCAATACAAATGCACGGAAGTCAATTAAGGATCGATTGCTGATAGAGAAAAGAAAAAGATTTGCGGTAAATTGGTAAAGCGGTAAATTGCGGCAGCTAGAGTCTGATAAGTAAATTCAATGTATATTTAAATTTAAATCTTTAAATGAATTTTTAAATCTAAAGACATAACTTAACGAAAGCCATTAAATTTATCTGCTTTTATCCTAAGGCATTATTTAGAAGAGTTTTACCTGAATATCGCCCGGAAAGAACACCACATGTTGTTGACCCTCAGAGCCACAGAAAATCAAGTCATTCCGTCGTCCTTCGTAGCCTTCCACGTTCCGAAGAACCACTGCAGTTGATTTATCCATGAAAAAGAGAAAAAAAAGTCTGTTAGTCTTGGTGTAAAAGCTAAGTATTCCAAGGTTTCTGTGGTTTGTTTATCACGTTCYGACTTTACACAGTACTTAATGCTCCTATAATATCGTTTCACATACTCTGCTCTTTGTTTGAGTCCATTCTTAGGTTAACAAAAGGGGGCTTTCAAGTCTTGTTTGTAATCATTTCCAATCACAAACGAACCAAAGAAACGCTAGCTTTGGTCTTTTGCTTTGAAGAATGAAAATCTCTTAATTGAAATCGAAACCAATCGACTGTTGATTAAGCGGCGCTATTGGATGCTGCAGGACGTCACCCCATGCGTGATTGGATGCAAGGATTTACTCCTTTGTTTGAATACTTCCAAAGAACTTAAAGGATTGAATAAATGCATATTAAAACATCCAAAAATCTAAGAAATAATACCTTCAGGCATTAAAGTAAAGGCTGTAATTCCAGCTCAATTATTTCAGTCATAATCTTTGATAACTGCTGACAAATAGCAGATTCTTTCGTTTGTCTTTTTTTTTTTTTTCGTCTCACGGTTCCGAGATGAGCAAACAACGTGGACATTTTTCATTAATGTAAAGTAAACACATTCTTTCACGCAATAACAAGCCACTTCACACGATTTTCTTGCTTGTAATCAATAAAAGACTATTTAATTAGCTAGACCATAGTTAATACTAACTATGGCTAGACTTTATAAACGTAGACAATTAACAAATTTAGTTTTGAAATTCGTGAAGTTTGTATCAATTATCGAAAACTAGACTCTCCTTGCATTGGTCAAATTAGACAAATAGCGAGCAGGGAAAATAGCTTTCTCGAGGCGTTGCTTTCGGATCTGTTGTCGAGACATCCCAACAAGTTATCAATATTGGTTTGTGATAGACTGAATAAATAATCCCCCGAGATTAGTTTTTAAATATATTTTTCCTGAGTTCCAGTGTGGCTAATTAAGCCTCTAAACAGAGTTCATAGAATCCTATGAGTTCTATGAACTCTGCTCTAAAGAACAAGACATGCYAATACTACGAATTGAGAAAATACCGAGTACACTCTTTATAATCAATATCGTTCTCAAGGTTGTTTTACTTTCTTTTTTTTCTTTTTTCTTTTGGAGCGGAATAATATTTTTATACGGTTTCGAGAGAAGAAAAGCCGATGCGTCATTCAAGCCAAAAAAAATCGGAAGTGATTTGTCGGTGAAAGACAATCAAGACAATCAAGAATCAAGAGTGACCTATTTGCCCTTCTTTTTATCATTGTTTGTATTCACACATCACCTTGTGTCAATAATCCACATTTATATGCCCAATTAGTATTTATTAGTAAACTTCAACTATACAAAGTCCTTCCCATGGGGCAAATATTCCGACAGCATCTTTGATAACAATAAAAATGGAAAGCTCTTTTGAGTATTTCACTATCAACTCAATGTTGTCTCGCATAGTCATATTTGTGACCAGTGAAGGATTTTACGGGCTGCTCATTTATGTTTGGTGGCTACTGTAGCAAAGAGTATTAGGAAAGCTATTTCATACAGAATAGTCCCTTTCACAGTTCCCTGCGCCATCTTGAAAGGTAGCCGTGCCTTTGCATCGAAGCGAGACGAACGATGAGCTTGCAATGATAGAGACAGCTGAATAATTGTCCAAGGTGTTAAAAAGAGGTCTCACCGTTCGTCTCGCTTTGATTCAAAGGCATGGCTACCTTTCAAGATGGCGCAGGGAACTGTGAAAGTGACTATTTTAACGCTGGATCAATAAAGAAAGATAAATGGGGTGTCCCGAGCTCTTCCTCAAGGTAATTCAATTTAACAAGTTTTCAAAAGAAAAATGAAGGGAAACATCTAGTTTAAAAAATATTGAAAGAATGATTTAAGAATAATACTAAAATTTAGTTTAAAAATTCAGTCTCAGGCAGTATCATATATGACTATTCACTTTCCGGAGGTTCAAGGTGGGTTACTAGTACTTCGTGGTGCAAAGGATTATGGAACTGATTGGGGACGAAATCAAAATGCTCCGTTATTTTGCATCCTTATTTAGTTCAACAATCCTTTGCACAACTAGGGCGTTACTAGACTCCCTTTTGAACCCCAAAAAAGTCGAATACGTTTAAAGTAATGCAGCAAACAATAAGAGCAAATTTCCTTAAGTTTTATTTTTATGTATTGTTTATATCGGGTTCCCTGTAATGCTCAGTAAGAGTTAGCTAGCGAGAAGGCACTAAGCTGTATACATATACATAAGCTATACGCTGTTTAATGACTTCGTTCTCGGTATCTAACAGACTTAGTTCATACAGCTAGCTATGTAACATACAGTCTAAAATGTGGTATAGTTAGGCCAAAGTTCCGGGTTCGAAAGATTTTTTTCTTCATAAACGATTTGCAGAAGACAATTTCTAAGTCTAACTCCTAACCGCTTATTACGCATATATATATATCATATATATATTATAAATATATATATATATATATGTATTCGTAATGACCAGTAGGGATATATGCGTGGATATCAAGCCCTACACATAACAAAGAAAACCGTGTCAAGTAGGAACTAAAACGCATTACTACGGCCCTCAGGCTGTATATATCTTTATGCCTTCGTTCTCGGTAACTAACTCTTACGTAGCACATGCGGTTGTATTATAATGCATCATCCTAAAGCTAAGAAAATGTTCTAATTACGTTGTTTCCACTGCCATATTTTCTCATCTCGTAATAACCGTCCATTGGGCGATGTTTGGTTTGGTGGTAGGAGAGCGGCATATACACAGGTCCTTGCACCTAAAAGAAAGAAAAAAACAATTCAAAAGAGCGCAGTCAATACAATGTCCCAAAACCGGGACCCGATTGATTAGGTGGTGGGTACCGGTGAAACCCCTGCTCTTTAAAGACCTGTTGAAATACTCAATACTGGAAAAACTGAGAAAGTATACACACACGTCAAAGGCGATGGGCGATAAGCTATAGGAGATACGCGATAAGTGATAGGAGAAAGTCATAAGGGGGTTGAAACGTATAACATGCATTTCTTTCGTACGATGCTAAGGAATATTATTTTCGATTCGTTACACGACTTTCATAAACTCAGTTTTTTTTTCTGATAGAGAAAATGAAGCCTTTCAATGCGATTTGAGAAAGTACTTCATGAAACTATTTCTAAAACATTTGAGTTAAATGTGACTGAATTAGACTCTACGAAAGACGTTATGAAAGATCAGAAATAGAGAGTTTGTATGCATTGACCAGTGGAAGTCTTGGTGGCCTCGTTTCGGTGCATCTTTCAAAACTTCAAATGCTCATATCTTATCAAGGCTTTATTACCTTCATTAGAAACTCACACATATTATCTAAATGAACAAGCTCAATGATTTGAAAGTGGTTTCATTCCAAAAACATTGATTTTCAACGTTTATGCAAATTACAGCAGCCAGTTATCAAAGTAAATCCGTGAAACTTTAGTAATACTAAATAGCACAATTTCATGCAAATTCCATTGTTTTCTATTGTTTAATTAGCACTATTTTGTACTATTTAGTAATTAGTGCTTCACGGATTAATTGTTTGCACTCTACTACGACCATTAACAACAACAACAACGAAGTTAAAAGTCGATCGGTTTTTAACGAATCAATAGCGCAGCGCAGTCGTGTCGTCATAAAAACGAAGACAAAGGCGAAATTCGGACAAACAAACTTACAAGTTTACTTTCAGCAGATAATTTTCACAGCCGATCGCAGTTGATCTTAGTTTACATGGGTTATTATTGTAACTTTAAGTAAAAATAATAAAATCGGTTCGTATAATCCTCGTAGCGGTTAAACAGAATGCAATGTTTGTCCGAATCTTTAAGCTATTTTTAGAATCAGCGCGCTGCGCTATTAGAGTCTACTGATCGAAAGACAAGTAATGCAGCACCCATTTTCTTCACACACACCGTGGAATGTTTGCTTGCCATGCTTCATAAAAGCATCACTCGATGCGGTTACTTCCTTGAAGCCGTTTGGAAGAAGGGAAGACAATTTTCTATTCCAGAATTATACTCTGCTGGGACTGGAATTCCCGGCCATGTCAGCCGGAGTTCGTCTGCATTTTAAGGTAAGCTATTTTGTATGAGTCGAAGGTTTACCATTTAGCACCACGCAAAGGATTGGGGGTCGGGTTGCCAAATTGGGAGAATGGGTAAACATGGTCACCACAATGTCGCTAGCCTCTTTATCACAGTCGTCAAATCATCAAATCGTGAAATCTTAATGTAGTTTGCTGTGTCTTCCTGCAGGAACGTACACATCCATTGGGTCTTCCAATGAGGGCAAGGAGCGAACATAAACATAAAGGTATTGTATGGCTTATAATAACGTCCAATCAAAATTAACAGAGAGAGGGACAGAAACTACCTGGTAGCTACCCAGTTTGCATGTGTARAGAAGTATACGGCTACCATCAGATTATTATCCAGTCGGTCTATATATTAAACGCAATAAACGATATGGAAGATATTAAAATCAAGCGGTACCTGATCTAACACCCGTCAATTACTGAAAGTGAAAAACCGGTCCTAATGTGAGCCCTAACTTAAAAAAAGACCGTTGACACACGTATTTATACACATTTAATTTCAGTTATTAAATTTACAATCAAAGTTTTATCCTAAAATTTAGGTATACATTTACAACTCAATCAAAGCCTAGAAGTGTGCATGGATGGATCGCAGAAAGGTTGTGGAAGACATAACCATTTTTCTCACCACAATAATGGTTCAAAGTTAGGTTTGCCACGCTTCTTAACAGCATCACCACTTGATATGTGTTCTTTCTTGGAACCTTTTGGAAGCAGGGACGGAAACTCGCTATTCCAGAAGTTCATTCTACGTGGACGGTAGTTGTTTTTCATGACAGGATTCTTCCTGATTTTCAGGTAAGCCTTCTTGGACGAGTCAAAAGGGTCCCATTTAGCACCACGCACAGGAATGGGGGTCGGGTTGCCAAATTTGGCGAAATTGGTAAACATAGTTACCACGACGTCGCTAACTTTTTGATCTCTCTTGTCAAACTTTAGTCCTGTCTTGGAGTTCAGAAGTGGAAGACCAAACTTGTAGGCCGTCGTATCTTCGTGGACGACGCCCATCCATTCAGGCTTTGGATGGAGTTTAGAGCGATAAGCGAACTCAAACATGAAAGTAGAGGCTCCTTTATCACTATGGAAACTCAGGACAGCATGGGTTGGCGCTTTCATATAGTAGTCAGACAACATATCGATGAGGTTCTGACGGAGTTCGCTGGTGTCTTCAACGTTAAGTTCGTACTTGGCCACTAGTGCATTGTAAGCATCTTTGGCCTCCTCCTTTGCATACCCAATAAAACGCTGAAAATGGTCATCTAAAAACTCTCTAAGTTTGGGAGTACTATAATTTCCAGTCACCGACGTTTCTATTACGAAAGAAGCATCTTGGCTAGTAAAACCCGACATTAAAGGGAGTTTCTGGAATCTTCCTTCTTTTCTCAGTGTTTTAGGATCGTCAGGGAGAAAGTGTTGGTCAACAAACGGCTGCATCAGCCAATATATGGAATTCTCAAAGACAGTGGCGCTCGGAATTGATTTTAGGCAACCAACTGTTTCTCGAAGGCTTTGTTTTCTACAATTGACCTTCTCAATCAAATTATTGCTTGCTTCTAAAACTGTAGACTTTGGTTTGAAGGCAAAGGGAGAGAATTCCACACCGCTTACTGCAATACCTCGATGAAACAGTCCTCTAGACAAGGGTGATAAGTAGTGTAATCCCACACTAGATCCTCCTGCGCTTTCACCAAGGAGAGTCACGCTATTTTTGTCGCCACAAAAGCCCTCGATGTTTTGTTGAACCCACTTGAGGGCCTCTACCTGGTCAAGAAGACCAACATTTCCAGGTGCTTCTGAGTCCCCAGTAGTGAAGAACCCAAATGGTCCAAGTCGATACTGGATGGTGACAAGAACAACATCGCGTGTGGGCAAATACTCGCCTGGTGATATATCACGAGTAGGGGTACCTGCGAAATAGCTTCCTCCGTGGATATAAAAGATAACTGGGTACTTTTTCTTGCAGGATTTTATTGATGGGGTGTAGATGTTCAGGTACAGGCAGTCTTCGCTCATATCCTTTGTTGGATCAAACTCAGGCCATGCCCCTTTGATAGAATCAAAGTAGTGATTAGCTTGTATACAGATTAGTGGTAGAGAAGTGGCCTCATAATCACTTGATCTTCGAGCGGAAAGAGCTTGTGGAGGCTTGAAGCGAAGATCGCCAATTGGTTTTTGAGCGTAAGGAACGCCGAGGAACTTGTAAACAATTTTTTTCTGCTTGTTGTCTACCTCGACTTCTTGTCGCACTCCCTTCACTTTGCCTTGTTTAGTGTCTGCAACAACATTATTTGTTGTGGCAACAGAAGTGATATGAACCACCAGACAGATAAGTGAAATAAATTCACTGCAAATAAACGAATTAAACATCGCAAAGGAAACTAAGGAACCTCGAGTGAGTGACACGATTTAAAAAAACTCTAATCGTGTATGCACCATTTTAGCAGGTATTGATTTTAGGGAAAAGAAACCGTAACTGTGAAGTTACGGATAAATAATCTTGCCAAAACTGACCAATGAAAATCACCGCTGCTTGATTTAGGTGACCTTGGTAATATACAAATACTGTGAACTGCCCATCACTGTCAGACTGGAAATGACGTCTATTGATATTAACCAATTTTTTAAATGAAGTTGACTAGGTAATTAAAACAAACATTACGACCAAAAAAACACTAGTTTCACATGACTGCATAACATGAAAAGGCGTTAACATGGTTCTATGCGAACAACAGTTTTCTGGAATATTTTGAAAGGTAAAATCCAAAGAGGAATTCTCGACAGCTCAGTATAGCCAAAAGTTAAGTAGAAAATCAATGACGTCATGGTTGTAAGATTATTTCCTTGAATTGCTTTCTAAGGACTAATCGTGAAAGGTGGCGTCATGCCTTTTGTTTTTTTACACGCGATGAAAAAATAAAAAGCTGAAATAATGGGAGAGTAACACTGAAAAAGATTATGAAAATACTAAATGCATGAATTTCTAATCATGAAGTTCTCAATGGGGGTTGTCTTTAAGCAGGTTAGCGTTTAGACTATTGTTGGTCTTTTAACGGGTTATGGTTATATATTTGGAGTTGAGTAAAGTCTACTAAAATATCGTAATAACTTTTGTTTTATTTCTGGTTGTTCGTCTTTTTTATTTGCTTGCGGAGGGAGAAATGGTGTAAGAAAATTTAGGCGGGAAAAAAAATGGAGAGAGGAATTGCCCTAATTCACTATGACGTCACATCCAACCAATCTTCAACAATCTATTGTTCAAACGTAAAGGATCATGGTCGTCGGACGGGGTCAAATCAACGCAAATTCACCGAAAATTTTTCTAAATGCCGTATCAATCCACGAAGAGAAGTAGAATAGCCAGCAAACGCTCAGAATATTTTTTAGTACATATTAACACATATTATATCTGAAAACCAGGCCATTTTAGATTAAACTGTTTCGCTAGGAGCAAATGGTGTTGAATTTTTCTATTGGATTTGGCGATTCTATCCCCCACATAAACAAGCAGTGACGTCATAGTGAATTAGGTAAATTATTTACTGCGGTTTTCCATGTTCTGCGAACTCAGACATTTCAACGAGTTGTTGTGAAATGGTTTTTTTTACTGCCACAAGTCAACAATATGAAAGGTACCGACTGATTATTTTTGATTGACGGTAGCAAAAAAACAAATTTCAGCGTGCATCTCTCAGCTACCGAGTTCGCAGAAAACCGCAGTAAAGGCTTCGATTATTCGTGTTTAGTTTTATATCTCAATGCGAACCTATCGCCTTTAACTATCGCCTATCTCCGATATTAATTTAAATTATCGCGAAATATGAATTTTAAATTTTGGAGGTATTTGATGAGAAAACCCGGCCAAGATTTTACTCCAGAGGTGATGGGTTATGGGTAAGCAATTCAATCTCGTACAAATCGCGTAGTCGTATCAACCATTATCAATGCTTTAGAGGCTGGACCCACTTTATTATGGAGGTCGCAGCAAAAATAACCTGAGTGTTGAAAAGAGACTGGGAAGAATAGTTTTCTTTTTGTTTCGGGTGCGCGGCATGTTTTACCTGTTTCTGGTGACCTTTGAGCCTTTGGTCCTCCCATGTCAGTTCTGCACCATCCTGGACAAACCTACAAAGTTTTTATGTGAATATAAACATAGTTTAATTAATAACAGTCCAGAGTCCAGAATCAATGACATTATTGCTCTGAAATGCCGTCTATGCAGCAAGATAAGAAGAGGACTCATATCCAGGCTGTTGACCCTGGAGATAATCTCCCACTTGTATTCTAATAGAAGCGTTCAATTGGGTCTTTTTTTAACATTCTCATTGGTTAAGAAACGCGTCGTAATGACACGTGGTCTGAGAATACAGTATGCCTAAATATGGTTAAAAAGACGTTGTAATGACACGTGGTCTGMGAATACACTATGCTTAACTATGGTTAAAAAACACGTTGTAATGACACGTGGTCTGAGAATACACTATGCCAAGATATGGTTAAAAAACACGTTGTAATGACACGTGGTCTGAGAATACACTATGCCAAAATATGGTTAAAAAGACGTGGTAATGACACGTGGTCTGCGAATACACTATGCCAAGCTATAGTTAAAAAATACATGGTAATGACACGTGGTCTGAAAATACACTATGCCAAGCTATAGCTAAAAAATACGTGGTAATGACACGTGGTCTGCGAATACACTATGCTTAACTATGGTTAAAAAATACGTTGTAATGACACGTGGTCTGCGAATACAATATGCTAAGCTATGGTTAAATGCGTTTTGTAACGAAAATTCCCGCCAAATCCACACAGGAGTTCAACAAAATTGAAAAAACAAAAGAACCCTTACGATTTTTAGTCAAACTGCCCCCTTCATGCATACGTCCCAGTGCTTTCTTTTATGATGTTTGTGAGCAAAAAACCTGGTGATATGCCTACAAAACTCTGTTGCCAGCAATGCTGTACAAAGCAGTTGCACTGTGTAGTGTGCTCAACCAGTGTAACGAAAATAAAAAATGCCCTCTGTAAATATTCAAGAATAATCAAGAAAAGTAACAAATCTTACAGCATTGAGTAGAATGCCTCTCTTAGAGTCAAGCTCTTTTGCCATTACTGTTGTCAAGACAGTTACGCCAAGCTTGGACATGGAATATGCTGTCAAGAAATTTGAAAAGCCACAGTTAAATAAACTCTAAATACATAGATATTATTAGACATTTTAGGGTGGATATTTTTCCGAGTTTGCTGTATTTTGCTTAGCCTGATAGGTTGAGACAAAATGCTAAGATGAGAAAAAATGTCCATTCCTATTTTACCCTAAAATGTGTAACAAGTTATTTAATAATACAACTGAACTTAGTTTTACCCCAAAAAGGCTTCAAAATGAATATTCTTAAAAGAACTAGTTTTCAAAACCGTTTTATTACTGTGCAAATACAATAAACACACTTGATAATGAGGTCAGCATGACCACGAAACCCTGGGGGGGGGGGGGGGGGGGTTGATGGACCGAAAAAATCATAACTCTATAGATAGATATACGACGGACGGATGCATGAGGTCTACTGAGATTACTCTCGGCTAAATTTTGATCATGCTCTAATCTATAGCTATGGCCAGCAGGAAGTTTTATCTTTGGACTAACAAATATGAAGCAGGTCTATTAGAAAGCTATGACGATTTCCTGAAGCTTGATCGGCCTGGCAA